TAGGGGCTTATTCACATCAATAAATACAATTCACGTTCAATAAATTAATTAAAGCAGCAGCTCCAGCTTCCTTGTTCACCACATATCTCCGGTGTTTGTGAAGGCAATAACACATAGAAAGCAATAGAGAAATACATTCTGAATGAATAAGGGGAGGGACACCACTCCCCAGGGGGAAAAAAAAGAAAACCAGAAGGTGGGCCCCCTGTAGCACAGGCTTCCCCAGTTAGGTAAGTGTGTAGGAAGCCATCACCATCAATGTACCAGCTAGCGTTGTTGTGAGAGGCTGTGTTCAGCTTCAGCGATTTTTTTTTTTTGGAGATTCAACACATTTGCCCATTTCATGATGAGTGATTTAAGACCACACCTGCCCACACCACACTGAGTGTTCTGCAGTTTTTGACGCAAAACAGCAAGACCCCATTACCTACCTTCCCTGTTCACTTGATCTCACTTGAGCAACTTTTTGTTTGTTTGCTTCACCAGATGAAAAAAAGTCCTCAAAGGGAAATGTTTTGCTGATGTGTAAGAGATGAAACCAAAAAATAACAGAAGCACTAAAAGGCATCAAAATTAACGGGATTAAAAGCTGTTTTGAGCAGTGGTAAAAGTGTCTCAATAGGTATATTGCATCAAACAAAGAGTACTTTAAAGATGACTGAAGCTTAAATATGTAAGATACCATAAATACACAGTTTTGTAGAAATAAATTCTAGTTTTTTGGGGTCTCCCTTTGTAAATGGATGATAGTGGAGCAGAGCTCAGATTTTAACCCAGGACTATCTGACTTCAAAATCCATTCCCTTCCCATAACGCCACATGGAAACCCTGGTCTAATTTTGCTTAGCCTACAGAATAGAAGAAGTTTTTGCCTTGGTGCAAACTACATATTTGGTACTGAGCTTATCAAAGTTTACTGCTCATGCTGATTACTGGTTAGGAGGTCTTAGGCAGCTCACTTAACAACTCTAGATCTTATTTCCATCTGTAAAATAAGAAAAAAGCCCAACCCTGCCTATCTTCCTGATTTGTTCTGAGGGATAAATAAGAACTTACATGGGATAGTATTTATAGATTGCAGTATCACATAAAGTTATCATCATTACAACATGGAAAGGAAAAAAGAGATGAAGGAAACGGAATAGCAAAAAGGTAAAAAAGAAGAAGAAAAAAAGAAGGAAGAAGTAGCGGAAAAAGACAATGGTGGTGGACAGAAGGGCTTAAAAGAAACTTTATAAGTCCAAAATTTTGTGATATAAGAAAAAACAAAAATATATCAAAATGTTGTGCATCAAAAGTGCCCATTTGCCCAAGAACAGGATTCAGAACCATTTGTGTCTCTTAAACACTCCACAATTTTATATTTTTATTTTAAAATACAAATTTGTTACACTGAAAACTCTTTCAAGCACCTGTATAGTTGTTGCAGTCTTTTCAAAACTTGTAATAGTAACTTTGCTACAACACCATTTAGTTCATGATCACAATTTTGTTTTTCCCCCTATCCTTTTTCAAAAACTGTTAGATGAGCTCCATGGAGCGGCTGGCATGACTTTGGCTTCAGATGCCGAGTGTGGGAGGCAAAGCAAGGCATCATCAACAACCAACACTGGTGTGTGTGACATGTACAACTAGGTCCTCAAAGGGTCACCAATCCAAACCACAGTGCTTCTAACTTCTTCAAAACTAAACCACTAGAATCTTCAGGGAGCAGCTGTATCTTACATCTACAGCATTGCATCTGACTCACTGCAGACCCTCATATATATATTTTCATTTATGGTTCCTAGCTTGTAATTCTCAGGACCCTTGTTACAGTCTTTTGCTATAACACTGGGATGCATTAGTCCTCAGGAAACAGAATTTCTCTCTCTGAACTTCACCTGCCTTTTTGTCCAATCACATTTCAACACAGTTGTGCATGCTTCAGTTATGCCTATCCAATGAAGTCTCCATAAAAGACTCAAGAGGACAGGGTTTGGAGAGCTTCTGAACAGCTGAACATATGGCAGTTCTTGGAAGGTGGGGTGCCCACAAAGGGCATGGGAGCTCCGCACCCTTTCATCCATACCTCTCCCTTTGCATCTCTTCACCTGTATCCTTTACAATATCCTTTATAATAAATCAGTAAACATGTTTCCCTGAGTTTTGTGAGCCACTGCAACAAATTAATCAAACCCAAAGTACAAGTAAAACAACCTGGGGCATTCTATTGGCATTGGAAGTGAGAGGTAGGGGGCAGTCTTGTGAGACTGAGCTCTCAACCTATGGAACTGATGCAATGTCCATGTAGACAGTGTCAAAATTGATTCAGAGGGCACCCAGCTGATGTCTGTTGCAGAACTGATTGCTTGACTGGTGTGTGAAGAATAACACGTCTCATCACAAAACTCTTCTGTGTTCATTGTTGTTGGTGTTGTTGAGTGAGAAAATTTTAAAAACACAGTTTGAGTATTTTCTCCAACACAGTACCGTACCTCCATTAATGAGGACTTCATCCTTCCTAAGATAACCCATTTGACATTTGGGAAGCTTTATTAGAAAAAGAAATATGTCGTATAGGAGAAGAGGAGGAGCTTCACCAGGAGATGGACTTGGTTCTAAATCCCTGTTTCACCACTTCTTAGTCATATGCCTTGGATGTGCCACTGACTTTCCCTGGGCTTCAATTTCCTTGTCTGTATAAAGGGAAGATGGCACAGGTCCTTGGAGGAGATAGAGTGGTCTGGGTTGGGTTGAAGGAGAAAAAGTGAGATATATGGACAAGTCATGGGAGATAAAGACAGAATTGTGAATTGAGACAAAACCAGTGCAGCATATCCACCAGACAGCATTTGCCTTTTGTTCAGAGAAGCAGTGCAGGAGTATGTTTAAAGCTCAGATCTAGAGCCAGACAGTTGGGCTCTGATCCCAGTTCAAACCTTGAGCAACCAACTTAACCTACCCATGCATTCATTTCCAAATAGGTAGAAAGGTGATAATCATAGTATCTTATAGTATAGAGTTAATGAAGCTTAAGTCAACACCTGCAAAGCACTTAGTGCCTGGATTAAAAGAAAGTATGCAATAAGTGTTAGCTATTTCAATGATTATTACTAGTTCTGCAATCCAAAGTGCCAGGAAAGGGTAGAGATAAGATCACAGCCTCACTTTCAGATGCTTGATGGGCTTGTGATGTGTAGGATAGAGAGGGCCAGAGAGGTGGAAGGCCAATAAACTGGTTAAAAGGTCACCGCAATGCTAGGTCAGAGGTGCTGAGCACCCAAAGTGGCAAAAGTAAAAGAAAGAAAGGAGACGGAAAAGGGCCAGCCAGGTGCCAGACAGATCTGAGCAGTCAAATTAACAAAACTCAGTCAGTTCTTCGATGTGGCTGGTAAGGAAAGTAGAACGGCAGAGAGATCAAAGGATTTCATCTAAAAACACATTAGTTTTCGAACCAAAACGTCTATTAAAGTTACCCTAGAAAATTCATTCTGTCAGTTCTAGATTGTGAGCCTCTCGGTCATCTTGTTATACCCAATGGTCCTGAAACACAGCAGACATTCAGAGTTTGTTGAATGGATAATTGCTTACTAACATGTAACAACTTTTTACAGAAAAAAAGGAAATATGGCAGCTCATCCCCTTCCAGTGTCTGCTTTGTTTGGATTATAAAAAGTCCTGCCCTACTAATTTGTAAGTGTTCAAAGCAGCATGTTCCATAGTAACTGGAGGAAAAGTAAACTGTTTCCAGAGCAAATATATATGTATTTAGAGAAGAAATTTCCTCATAATACCAATATTCTCCATTTATTTTGAGTGAGGGTTTTCAACCTTGAAAATATTGTAATTTGGGGCTGCATAATTCTTCCTTGAGGCCTGAAATTTTCATACACATCTGAGAGATTTTATTTGACCCTCCTAACAACCCTGTAACGAAGTAGGGCAGGGTTTTTGTTCCTGTTTAAAAGATGAGCAAATTCTATTACAAATGTTTGTTTTCTGTTTTAAAATATAAGAATACTGCATCTGATGTAAACTAAAATATAATTGCTTAAACAGGCAATTACATGTTTGACATTTACAAGATCATGACCCTTCTGACGCCACCTCTGCCATTCTGGGTTAGGCCTCTTGGAGCACTGCTTCACTCTCCAGGCCTGTGTCTTACCTGGGGTTGAACCAGGTGAACATTAAGGTTCCTCTCAGCTCCAACGCTGTAATACTCTGCTCCTATGCCAGGAAACTTTCATTTCACCTACATTACCTGTAGGTGACTTTTAACCTTCTTGCCCTGCTGCCACTACCGGGCAAAGCCACTGATGACAAGCCTTTGAGGACGGCCCTCAAGGGCAATGCCTTCCACCTACGTGGATGGTTATGGGGTTCCAAAGGCCTCCAGCAAGATCCTGAGAATTGCTTCATACCAACTCCCTTCCTCCTTCACCATTAATCTCTCTGCCTGGAGTTTCAGACTCAGGTCAAGTGCAGTCAGAAGGAAAGGGGCAGCGGCCAAAAGAAGGAAGTCACGAAAATAGCAGGTCCCGTCCCGGCAACCCCCAACCACTCACCACCCCGCACATCCAGCCCCTGAAAAGTCCTGTTTCTTTTCCACCTATGTCCAAGCCCTGGGATACTGCCCCTCCCCACCTCTTCGCCATTGACACCCACTAGGAAAAGGAGATCCAGGTCCCTTGCAGGCATGTGCACCGGCCTAGAACTCAGCCGACCCACGTTTTAACTCTGTCGTGAACTTCTAACCCACGACTTCCCCCGTCGGGCCTGCCCGGAGGCCGAACTCAGACGATCTCCCAAACTCCCTAAGGTCTGCAGGAGTCAAAGTCACTCGCAGGCACCGCCCCAGCGCCCGCTCGGGCGCCCGGGCCTGGCTGGGGCGGAGCTCTTCCCTACACTCGGAAAGACCTGCCCCGGTCCCCTCCGGCTGCCGCCGCGCACTCCCCGCGGGGACACTGGCTCGGCGCGCTGCAGCCCCCGCGGTCCTCCAACGGGCCGGCCGCTACCTGGTCCAGCAGCCGGTAGATGCTGATGCCCAAAGTCTCCACCAGCAGCTGCCAGTCGGCCCCGGCCAGCGCGGGCTGCCGGAGCTCGGCGCAGGCCTCCCGGAACCGATCCTCCGAGAAGCAGCCCGCAGCCGGCTCCATCCTTCCGCCGACCGGGTTCCTCAGCCTGGAGGGCTGGCCGCGGACAGGCTTGGCGCTGGGGCCCGGGGGCGGGGAAACAGAGTGGCCCCGGCCTGACTGGCGGGGAACTGAGGAGAAGGCGGGACTTAGGCAGGAGGCGGGGCCTGAGGGGAGGCGGGGCCCGGGGGCGGGTCTAGGTAGGTGGGCGGGGCTGAACAAAGGTTGCGAGAATGGAAAAGGGCTAAAGGAGAAAGATGTAACATGATTTGGGGAAAGAAGGTGCTAGAGGAGTGAGGAGACTTCTAGAAGGAAGGGGAAAGGAAGAGGAAGACGTGCCAGCTCAGAGACACACCTGCTCAATAGCCCATCCCCTTCTCCTCCCCATCCCTATAACCTACGACCTGCTTGGGTGTCCCTCCTTTTCCTTTCTGAAGAAGGCAGAGAAAGTCTTCTTGGTATACATACTTAGGAGGAGAGGTAGGCAGAGTAGAAAGGCTTGAAAGCCCTAGGGGTCAGATGCTGGAACTTTATTTGAGTATAATTTCTCTTTTTTTCTGTTGTCCATTTAAAAACGTTATTCTGTGAAGAGGTACATTGGATGCACCAGAGACCCAAAGGGATCTATGACACCAAATCCAGAATGGATCTACAAGGTTGTTTGCCACCCTGGAGGGTAGAAAGTCTACTGAAAATTATAAGATTCACCTAGTAATTCTGCAGCTAGCATAATTTAGATCTTTAGACAACTCAAGTGTCTTTTTGTTCCTTTGGAGTCCCTTGGGTATTACTATATTTCCCAACCAGCATACTGTACCTGGTTTTGAATAAAACAGGTCGTATAAACATCAAAATGATCTAACATGGGTGCCAGTACATTCTGGAAACCCGTATAAGATGGGTCAAGAATTGCGCGAGCATTTAGCATTCAGGAGGTGATTGGACATAGAATAATTTTGTATGCCTATCAAAGCAAATGTTCAATACAAATTTCCACTTGCTCTTCATTACTATATTGAAATGTTTGTTTTCTTTCTGCACTTGAAAGAAAGTCGATGACAAATTATACACGCATGCCAATTTCCAAGAAGGAAGACAATCTCATATGTGTTTAAGAGTATGTTCCCTACTAAACTTTAGAAAGAAAATACATATACACTTAAATATGTTGAGATTTACACTCATGTTTATTTTATTACAGTTAATGAAGGACAGAAACATGTTAGGAAATATTTTATCCTGTGCAATCTCAAAGGTCTAGAAAATGCTTGGAAAGGGGATTGGGATGGCCTATTCTCCTTGAGCTTTGACCTTAATGGGACAGCCTATTTCCTTTGTGAAAACCATTCTCTGGAGGAACTGACAGCAAAATGGCAGCTGAAGTCCCTGGCCTCAAACATGGAATTACTGAATGAATCATACCAAAATTAGTTTTAAATGCATATCTTAGCAGAATTTTTTTTAAAGTTACCTCCAGATTTCAGAATGGGAAGAGAATGAAAGTCAGCAACACAAGTTCCTGGATATTCTTAGAATGGGTGACTAACTTCATCCCCACCTCCCCACCCCATGTTTCTCTGTGGAAAGAACTTCCATTAGCTTCATACTTTTGACCTCATTCATTCATTCAACTTTTTGGAAGTAAAAGGGTGATTTATATACAGTCATGTGTCACTTAATAATGGTGATGTGTTCTGAAAAATGTGTTGTTAAAGGCAGTTTTTTTAAATGCAAACATCAAGTAGTGCACTTACACAAACTTATATGGTATAGCCTACTACACAACTACACACTGGGTTATACTGTTCTGAACACTGTAGGTAACTGTAGCACAAGAGTGAGAATTTAAGAAACCTACTAAACAGGTTAGGCATGGTGGCTCACACTTGTAATCCCAGCACTTTGGCCAACGTGGGCGAATTACTTGAGCCTGGGCAACATAGTAAGACCTCATCTCTAAAAAAAAAAAAAAAAAATTAGCTGTGCATGGTGGCACATGCCTGTAATTCCTGTAGTCCCAGCTACTCAGGAGGCTAAGGTGGGGGGATCGCTTGAGCCCAAAAGGTCAAGGCTGCAGTGAGTCCAGTGCACTCTAGCCTCAGTGACAGAGTAAGACCTTGTTTGGGGGGAAAAAAATTAAACAGAGAAAAGTTATAGCAAAAATAAAGTTTATAATCATATGGTACCACCATCATATATATAGGCTATCATTGACCAAAATGTCATTATATGGCACATGACTGTAGTTTATAAGTTTAGGAGAAAGGACTACTGGACATGTCTGGATCAACCCCTTCAGGCTCTTCCTTTTTAGTGTCTGTCTCCTTGTAGAAAATATGCATTCTCATCTGCCCTAGTTTATATGGTAAACTCAAGAGGACAGGCTCTGCTATCAGAATATAAGTTTTTTAATGGTCTGTGTGCCCAGAGGGCATTTGGTTATAGGCAAAGTGGTAATTCCTATTATTGTCAAAAACTCAACAGCTCTATTATAATAAGGTGAAGTGCTGATCCATTGTCTGACTTTAGTATCTATCTCTGATTTGACTCAGGATACAGGTGAAGATAAGAAAAGTATTTCATTTAGGACTTCCTAAAATCCCAATTGACAGAAGTTCTGAGGGCTGGGATTGAGGCTCTAATACTCCCACAAGGGCTAAAAACATGGCATTGAGCAATATCTGGTGAGGAAGCTGCACTAGAAACTCTTTTACCTGAATCCTCCAAGAGCTATTTCTTCCATTCAAATAAATTTTTTAAAAAAATATATCCCCAGTCCATAGACCATGAGACCCTCAAAGACACTCATGATTTTTATAAGTCTTTAGGTGGAAAAAGGGAAAAGGGCAACTGAGAGAAACCAAATCCTAACACAAATCTGGTGGCTCAGGACCACCAAGACTCGTGGGACTCTGCCAGAATCAAAACCAGAGACATCTTTACAACCAAGACACATAGAATTACCACAGAGAAAGCAACAGCCACGGAAGATGTGTGTGCAAAAAAATGAGTTATAAAGACTGTGGTAAATAACTCTCTATGTGAGAAAATTAGCAGATGTACAAACAGGAAAATCTGAACCAAAGAATTACAAATACAAAAGTGATTATTTAATATGTATGTAAATCAAATAAGTAAAATAAAATCTAGAAAACATAATAAAAGAACAGAACACTAAGGAAGAGACAAATAAATAAAAATAGACAAAAAATTTTCTACAAATAAAAAATATAGTCATTAATATTAAAAACTTAAAAGGAAAGTAAAATAGTTTCCCTACCACAATTTAAGAAAGATCAGGGAATAAAAAAGTAGATGTAAGGAAGTGCCCCAGAAAACAGAACAGAGATATAAAGAAATGAGTAATTAAAAGATATGAAGGACACATTGAAAAGGCCACACATTTCTGACTGGAGTTCTAAAAGGGGGGAATAGAGCGATTAGAGATGGGGGTGAATTGGTGGGGAAACAAAGGGACATATAAAAACAAAATGGAAGTAAAATTCTAAATGGCAGACACCTAAAACAGGGAAGGGCAAAGTCCAAATTGTGCTTAAAAGATAGTTAAGAGATAGTGATTAATTTTAGTGTTGTTTAGTGTAGTTTGGTAAGTGTACATATTAAAATTTAAGGATATAAACTCTTAGAATTCAATCATAAGAAAGCAACCTAACCAATAAATAAAAATGGGCAAAAAATGTAAACAGACACTTCACCAAGTATTATATACTTGTGGCAAATAAGAACATAAAAAGACACTCAACATTGTGAGTCATAAGGATAATGTAAATTGAAGTCATAGTGAGGTTACACTATGGTATTTTAGAATGGCTAAAATTAAAAAGATTAATCAAAGCAAGTGTTAGCAAGGATTCTAAGGAGCTAGAGTTCTCACACATTGCTGGTAGGAATATAGATGGTACAAACAGTTTGAAAAACTGACAATTTTTGAAAAGGTTAAACATACATTTACTGTACAATCCAGCCACTCTACTCTTAGGTATTCACCAAGGGAAAAAAATAAGGCATTGTTCATACATACACTTGTACACAAATAGTCACAGAAGTTTTATTTACTTATAAGCATTTAACTATTTTTTAAAATTTTAATTTTAAAGATGGGTACAATTCAGGATTAGGTATACAAATGGTCATAGTACAGGTAAAGTTTGGACCTCACTTTGGTACCCACTTCACCCGGTTTGAGATCAGGTACCCTTATTGATGAAGTGTGCTCCATCCTCTCTCCCCTAGCAGTTTCCCCTTTACTGCAAACCCTTTCCTTATAGTATTGTGATAATTGTTCAAGGTTCACTTGTGAGTGAGAACATGTGGTATTCAGTTCTTCGTTTCTGTGATCATTGAGTATTATAGATTCTAAATCCACCATAATTTTGTCCTTCTTTATGGCTGTGTAATATTCCATCATGTATTTGTTACCACATTTTAAAAAATCAGGTCCACTTTTTGATGGGCAGCATGGTTCATTTCATGTTTTTTCTATTGTGAATAATGCTGCAATAAACACGCATATGCAGGTATTTTTTTCAAAGAGTGATTTGAATTCCTGGGTATATTCTCAGAAGGATTGCTGGGTCATATGGAAGATCGGTTTTTTAGATCTTTTAGGAATCGCCACACTGTTTTTCACAGAGGTTGTACTAGCTTATACTCCCACCAACAATGTACAAGTGTTCCCTTTTCCCTGCATCCTCTCCAGCATCTGTTGTTTTTTGAGTTATTGATGATGGTCATCCTGATTGGAGTTAGGTGGTATCTCAGTATGGTTTTATTTGCATTTCTTTGATGATTAGTGAGGCTGAGAATTTTTTCCTGTATCTGTTGGTTGCCCATACGTCTTCTTTTGAGAAGTGTCTATTCATATATTTTGCCCTTTTTTTAATAGGGCTGTTTGTTTTTTTACTTTTCGGCATGTTTGAGTTCCTTGTAGATCCTAGATGTTAGGCCTTTGTCAGATATACAGCTGGCAAATATTTTGAATGCTTAAATTGTATTCATTCATTTTACAACTTAATCTCAAATATGTAAGGCAAAAATTATCATTAATATAAGGATAAATCATCAAATTCACAGGCACAGTGAAATATTT